CTCTACTTTGGAACAGTAAGAAGGTGGAGTCGGCAAAAAGAGCTGTTTGAGTGAGACAAGGCAACCTATTGCCCATAGTCATAAGAGTTGCCACAAGATTTAGAGCAGACTCCCAGCTCATACGTTGGGAGGATACTGCAATTTGAGCAAGCCCAGTTTAACCATGTTAAATTTGTAGGTTTGGCGTAGAATCAGCATGAGATGAGCATGGCTAGGACCAGGACACGTTGTCACCATAATAACAACTCTGATTTTACTTTTTTTTTTTTTTCATGCCAAAGCAGTGAAGGAAATGCTTCCTTTTGTTGTTACACTCCAGAAGAATTTACCCAGATCCTACAGAGACACTGTATGATTGACATTGTCATTAAGAAATTTTGGCTACGTTTACCCTGCAGCCTGAAATGACCCAAATCCAGTTTTGCTTGCCACTAGCTGACCTGTATAAGATGTTTTTATGAGAGTCTGAACAACACAGATCAGATTTTTTCCAATGCGACCCAGGTCACTTGGCTACGTGGTCCTAATTCCGATACGTATCTGATCTTTTCAAATGCGATCTGTGTCTGAACAGCCAGGTCTCCTTCATCCGACCTGTATGTTGTTAATACTTTATGAAGGTCACTATTCTGAGTCTTGCTATTCAGAGGCAGGAAGAAAAACAACCATGGCGGACAATAATAGCTAGAGCACTCTCTCTTTTCAACTTTCTTGAAAAGATTACGTTGTTGCTGTAATCCGGCTCTGGCTCAGGATGGAAAAGAAATGAGGGATTGCACTTCCATAAGCTCACTGCTTGTGATGTCATTGCATCCTTTCTTGCATGCTGGACACTTTAATTGTATGAGTGCAATTCACTCATTAAAAGATCAAAGAGAAGATAGCTTTTTCTCATTTCTTGCCCTGTCTTTTTTTTCCTTAAATTTGTAGGAAGTCATATTTACATTTCAAATCATTCTGGCTTAAACATGTATATAAATGTATTTTTTACCAGACCATATTATCCCAAAAGTTAGAAAATGTCTATTTAAAAAAAATCCTGTCATTAAATCTGTGGGTTTATTTTATGCAGGCCAGTTAGTTATACGTCAGCTTGTACACCTACATTCGGTCAATCATTTATCAGCACTGAATTTTATTACAGTACCATGCAAGTTTAATTACAGTATAATGCGCTGTGCGCAGACATAACTCTGGTAGACTACGTACCTTATTATATGCTGTGTGTCAGCTCTGCTGTGCCGGCGGTGCATTTTTTTAACAAGTCTGAAAATAAAGTTTGAAACTAATTCATAATCACAGCACAATACTGCGCAGTGTGCAGACATAACTCTGATAGCCTACAGTAGGCCTATGTAACTTATTCTGTGCGTTGGCTCTGCTGTGCTGCCGGTGCAGCACATAAGGTTTGAAACAAAAGGTTTAATTGAACAACAACATAGAAGATAACTGCATAGGCTACAGAAAATTAAAGCTAGTCTACCTCTGTTTTGTGTTACGGATCTGCTGCGCCATACTAAGAAATCACTTAATATATTTATTCATGGTTCCTTGGATCAGAGTGTTGTCCAACACCGAGTTCAGTTCTTTTTCAAAACGATGTAAAAGTTCAAAGTTTTTGAAACCAACATGCGGGAGACCAGTCTTTCAAATGCAAACTGCATTCCTCATCTCAGCTCTGGAAGACACAACAGTCTCCTGTTCTTCATCCTCAGCACTGGTACCCGCACCAAAGCGCTCCTGTACCTCCGAGCTAGCTACAGTAGGCAGAAGCAGAAGCAGACACCCAGAAAGGAATCATGGGAGTAAAAAAAAAAAATAATAACTAAAATTATTTTTGCATATGTTTACATTCATAAAATGGCCATAAATTAACACTATAAGCGGATTTCTTGATTACTATAAACAAATTATTTAAACAGCATTTGCATAGAAATGATTCTGTCCCAAGACTTTTGATCTATAAAGCGGTTGATTACTATATCCTTGACCACTATAAGCAGATTCTACTGTATATAGATATTGAATTGTTATATACACCAACAGCTCGACCCTTCCAGGGAAATAAACAAAACAAGAGTTTTCTTCAGTTTCAGCTGAAATACGTATTGGAAAAATGGAATTAATGATTTTCATTATTGTCTCTACTCACTTCAGCACAAATGCTGCTTGTGATGAGGCATACCAGTCAGTAGAGCTCTTGCCTCTGTCGCTCACAGCATGAATCATTTCTGGTAATAGCATCATATTAATGATTAAAAATTAATGATGTAGGTGGTCTAGACAGCTCATCAATTCACCCCCACAAAGAAAGGGATTATGAACAACTGAGCTGTGCAAACTGCTTTGTTGTTGTTGCAGTAACTGAATTTTCTATCCAAAATAAATCTATTGGCTAAATAACATAATAATCTCATTCAGCATTTGGAGGGTTTGGATGTGAATGAATAAGAAATACTAGATTTACAGCAGCACAAGTATCCATTTTAACCTTGGGGAAACAGGTGAAGCTCTACATGCTTCACATTTCGCACACAAAAAATAATAGAGTCTAAATAATTCAAAACGCATGAATACACAATATGTAGAGAGCTATCGTTTCACTCCTCTAAGAAACATGACATACAGTGAGGAAAATAAGTATTTGAACAACCTGCTATTTTTGCAAGCCCTCCCACTTAGAAATCATGGAGGAGTCTGAAATTGTCATCATAGGTGCTTGTACATTGTGAGAGAAATAATCTAGAAAACAACAAAGATATTTGAAATCACAATATATGATTTTCTAAATATAAATTTGTATAATACTGCTGCAAAAGAGTATTTGAAGACCTGTCTATCAGCTAGAATTCTGACCCTCAAAGGCCTGTTAGTCTGCCTTCAAAATGTCCACCTCCACTCCATTTATTATCCTAAATTAGATGCACCTGATTTAGGTCGTTAGCTGCATAAACACACCTGTCCACCCCATACAATCAATAAGAATCCAACAACTAACATTACCAAGATGAAAGAGCTGTCCAAAGACACTAGAGAAAAAATTGTTCACCTCCAAAAGGCTGGAAAGGGCTATGGGGAAATTGCGGAGCAGCTGGATGAAAAAAGGTCCACTGTTAGAGCAATCATTAGAAAATGGAAGAAGCTAAACATGACTTTCAATCTCAGACTGGGGCTGCATTCAAAATCTCATGTTGTGGGGTCTCAAGGATCCTAATAAAGGTGAGAAATCAGCCCAGAACTACACGAGCTGGTCAGTGACCTGAAAAGAGCTGGCACCACCATTTACAAGGTTGCTGTTGTTAATTCACTAAAGTCTGGTTTATGATCAGAAACCAGGTCTTCTGCGTGTGTCGTAGTTGACGCACAACGCCTTGGACACCACAAACACTATCCCAGACACCGTGCAGAATAATAGTTCATGGCTCTGTGGGATGGTCTGTTGGTTTGCACCCGAAGCCAAAACACGCAGCACCATGGCCAGTCTTTTGTGAACACTCGTGGGTGAACTGTGTGTCGTCCTGCGTTATATGAGGGGTTGTAGACGGCGAACAAGCTCGTCAAACCGACACAAAGACACCCACAATCCTAGCTAGTTCATGTTGTCCCTCTTGTGTTGTAGTGTGAAATAACATAGTGCCGACCATGCTTCAAAATTGGGAATAAATCAAAAACATCTGTGTCATACCTGCGACAAGCTAACTGCGACACACTGCGGCAGGAGTATACAGAGCCCTTAAGACATCATGGTTGGAAATCATGCATGGTTCGGAAGGTTCCCCTGCTTATTTCAGCCCATGTCAAGGCCCGTCTATATTTGCCAATGACCATTTGGAAGATCCAAAGCAGTCATGGCAGAAAGTCATGTGGTAAGATGAGACCAAAATAGAACCTTTTGGTCATAATTCCACTAACCCTGTTTGGAGGAAGAAGAATGATCAGTACCATCCCAAGAACATCATTGCCACTCTGAAGCATGGGGGTGGTAGCATCACGTTTTGAGGTGTTTTTGTGCATATGGGTCAGGGTGACTGCTCTGTATTAAGGAAAGGATGTCCAGGGCCATGTATTGCGAGATCTTGGGGAAAAACCTCCTTCCCTCAGTTAGAGCATTGAAGATGGGTCAAGAATGGGTCTTCCAACAGGACAATGACCCGAAGCACACGGCCAGGACCAAGAAGTGGCTCTGGAAGAAGCATATCAAGGTTCTGGTGTGGCCTAGCCACTCTCCAGACCTAAACCAAATAGAGAATCTTTGGAGGAAGTTCAAACTCAGTGACAGCCCAGAAACCTCACTGATCAAGAGCAGATCTCTGTGGAGGAGTGGGCCAAAATCCCTTCTGCAGTGGGTGCAAACCTGGTGTAACACTACAGGAAACGTTTGACCTCTGTAATTGCAAACAAAGGCTAATGTACCAAATATTAACATTTATTTTCTCAGGTGTTCAAATACGTATTTGCAGCTGTAACATACAAATAAATTGTTTAAAAAATCATACATTGCTATTTCTGGATTATTTTTTTTTTAGATTATGTCTCTGACAGTGAACATGCACCTACAATGACAGTTTATGATTTCTAAATGGGAGAACTGGCAAAATAGCAGGGTGTAAATAAGTAATTCTTATTTATCTCACTGTAATTTAGCTTTAACCCATGTGCATTCCCAAATGGGGCATAATCTAGTTTCTGTGAGAAATTCATAACCAGGTGAATGAGGTATAGAACACCATGTCTGTGTCATGCTCTCTGTGTTAGAGGTGAACTGTCTCTCTTTGCCAGTGAGGAATTCACACACTGCTGGAGTTCTTTCGTCTCATTCCTCTCCCCTTCACACCTTGCTCCTTACTTGGAATATGTATCTATACTTTGTTGAAGTCTTGGGTTTGGTTGAAATCTTTAGAGGATATTGTAAAATATCTTGTTTTTTTTATGTCAAAATAAAATTGTATTGAAATCACACCTCTTCCTTAGCCTGACATTTTCTACTTCTGTCTTACCAGGTGTTTCCTATGGTCTTGGTCTCCGAGGCCTGAGGAGAAACAAGCCAAGCCCAGGCCCCCATGGGACGCCATTTTACCCAGCATGCACTGCTGCTGCTGCAGTGCATGTTGGTCCTACATCTTTGCAGTGTGGCCAGTAGGAGAGGACCGGTGCTACTGCCTGAATCTCCCTGCCACAAGACGGAGCACCCCCTGATCCCACATTCAGGTGAGTTATCCAATGAATACATGCCAGGAGAGGTCCCTTCATGACTTGCTCTCTTTTGGCACATCATACAGTACAAACAAGTAGCAGTTATTCACCTTCTAAACTTCCAATAAATATGTATCAATATATGATGTTATATGTATTAATATATGATGCAGTTTTAATGTGTAACTACAGCCCTGTGGTTTAGTGCCAAAGCAAAGTTTGCAAAATATATTCCTTTTTATTGTTAGCAAACTGTTGTGTACTGTACTGTTGCATTTTTTCAGTGTATACCATTTTCAAAAAAGTGATGGAATGGACATGTGAGTAATAAACAACAAAGTTGTGCATTGCGCAACTAACAGAAAACTACTGCTACCCGAAATTTTGATGTTATTAGAAATGTCTTAAAAAAAAAAAATCCTGTTAAATGATGTTCCATTATTTTGCAGCTTTTTCTATTCCAGTATCTTTATCTCATTAATCGTCTTTGCATACATTGTCTTTTATTTAAATCCTAACATTTGAATATAACACAGTTGCTAGGAGACTTCAACTGTATTACTAAAATGTCTCTGCTGTAAACTGATAATCTCAGACAAAGAAGTAGCTTTTTTTATAAAAGGTCATTTATTTCTCGCATTATTTGCACTGTTTATATATTACATTTTGTGACAGGTACACCCTTTATTTCTTGCATAGCATTATGTGTCTACCCACACCGAGTTATATCTGTTTCTATGAAAATAAACTAAGGTTGTGTCTGTACTTTGCAATTTGGAAAGGCTCTATATTTTAAGACTAGCCCTTCTTATTGAAATGGTTCATTTACTGCGGCTTCTGACTTCTGGTTTGAAAAAAGGCCTTTAAAATAAATTTTTTTATTCCAAGATTAGGAATAAAATCAACTCACCTTCTGACATTAATATGATTAGTAAAAACAAAAGAAAAAGAAAAACAGAGGGCCTATTGGATGATAAGAAAGGGAAATGTATGTGCACAAAAGTAAATTTTGCCCCACAATTGCCGAAAAGACCATTAACCTAAGTGAACATTTTTTTTCTTTGTAGCACTATTGCTGCAGCTGGAGCCACAGCTTGGTTGTAGTGTTCAGTGTTAGTGACTTTCTGCAGCATGCTTGCAGCTGCCTCATGGTCAGTGTGAGTTCAGTGTTACAGCGTAGCAGTCTTGTTTTCTTATTAAATCTGTTATTAATTATTTGACCACTTACTGACTCCTCCATTAAGTGATCTTGAACTCTCATCTCAGGGTGGTCAGTTTATCATAAAATATGAAAAAATACATAGCTTCTTCTGTCCTGACACCTTAGCAGATCAAGGAACCTTGATCTAAATATACAGGTTGTAGTCAAACTGCAAGAGTGTCTGAAGGGATTCACTATCTTCATGGACACAGTATGCTTATATTTCTCAAAGGTGTGCACAACTTGTTTATACACTGTACCAGGGTTCTATCGTTAGGATTAAGCTAATGTACTGTAGTCTGCAACAGTGCTCCAACCTTGCATCACATACTATATTTGGGGAAATTTATTTTACTCAAAATAAAGCTATCCTAAGTTTTAATTTGAAAAGTAGGACATTTATTAAAAAGGGAAGGTATGCAGTAAACTTCCAGTTAAATCTTAAATGCTGTAAGTAGTCTCAGCAGACCCATCAAAAATTTTGTTTCTTGCAATAGGAATATAAAAGTGCCACATCTTTTTGCCATTTTAAACTTATTAGCAAGCCTCATTTTTATAGTAAGTGCCTAGAGAATTATTGAAATTATTGAGATTTTTGTTTGTGAAACATTTAAGGATAACCAAAGTTTTTTTGTTCACAATTCTGCTCTATTTTGTATCTTTCACATAACATCCCAATTCAAATACATTAAGTTTTTCTCGTTGCAGCATGACAAAATGCATATATATTCTTTGGCAAGGCACTATTATTGTTGTAAAACCATCTCTTAACTTTTATTTTTCTGCTTGCTTGCCCCAATAGATTCTTGGAGACAAAGTGCAGACAGATTCTTCTGTCTGTACTGTCTCCACATTGCTCTGCATTTTTAGGGACTCCATCAGGCTTTGTTTTCTCTATATCTTATCTTATATTGCAATTGTGCAGCTTAACTGCAATAAAATGCATTATGACCCAGTCGACAAACGGTTCTGGTGGCAATCAATTCAGTCCTGTCTACTCCCTACAAAATAGTGAATGTCACTAAGCTGTTTTCATTTCAGCAGAATCTAAGACAGATCGTTCAAAGCTTAGTTTTTGAAACTGACTAGAGGACCTAGGCTAAAGGGTGAGATTCAAATACATGCATAAATTTAATCAATAGAGACATAAGCATTCTCCACTGAAGTCCTGTTTGTTCTCCACTCTCTGTCATTGAAAATGTTGAAACTGAATTGGTACTCTACTCTCTTCGTCAACTGAGTAGCAATGATTAGGACTAAATGGCCTGTTATACTCCAGCAGCAGTGTGTCACAGTGAGCTTGTCGCAGATATTTTTTAGTTATGCCCAATATTGAAACATGGTCTGCGCTATGTTATTCCACGCCACAAAGCAAGAGGGACAATCACGATCTAGCTGTGTGTCTAGATACGGCCGAGTATCTAGGAAGTGGGGGCAAGTTTGTGCGACAACGGAGGGACATGAGGTTGAAAAAGAGCGGGGATCCAGGTGAAAAAAGGGTTCCAGTGTTCTTGCGCCCCTCGCTCTTCTAGCTGGTCCAACTTAACGAGTCGTTTTCCACAATGGTGGCCATAAAAACAGAACAAGCTGGTAAGGTATGAAACAGGAAATGCGCATAGAGTAAAGCAGATGTAGATTTGACCAATCAGAGGCCTACTGTCTGCGTCACTTTCTGCGGTCACCTACAATGTTGGAGAGGTGCACCAAAGTGTCTGTGGAGGGGGCGGAGGGACATTGGATTCACTACAACACACACGCAGACAACCTAGTAACTGTCCAGCTAGTGTGATACATTCCATGATTGTTCTGGATGCAGTTACTGGCTCCAGGTTCAACACCGGTCAGTGATTTTGTGTACCTAATGTTCAAACGGAAAGAAAAAAATAAAACACATAGATATGTACTTACAAGGGCTGAAACAATTAATCGTGATTAATTGATTATTGAAATAATCGTCAACTTAGTAGATGATTAATCGTTAATAGGAGTATAGACTCTAAAACATGCCTTTAGCTGACAGAGCCAACCCACTTAGACCAGTAATTATACCAAGATTGTAAAAAATACATCAACATTTTGCATTTAAGCTATATAAATAAAAAATGTTTGTCCTAAACTCCTCTAGTGGGAAAGTTTTTGGTTTAATTTAATAAAGTCTTCTTTTTAGTAATTTAGTAAAAAGTCTTTTTTTAAAGAATCTTTGGCTATCTGATGATTAATTAATTAATCTGAAAAATAATCGAAAGATTAATGGATTTTCAAAAGAATTCGTTGCAGCCCTAGTACTTACTACTGTATAGTGAAAATCTTGTTGCTGCTTGACGTGCTGAAAAATGCAAGTAAAGCTATTATCTACAGTAAACTCAAACTGTCTGTGCTGAGTTTAGATAATAGATCTTATAAATTAATATTTATGTAGGCAGAAGTGACTTGTATAAAGACAAATGAGTGTTGAATATCTCTGCATTTGTTTTGTAAAAGTTGCTAAACATTCTTTTATATGAAATGTTTACACAATGATGGCAACAACCAAAAACCTAAGGAGTCCTAAGGAGGAAAACTCCTTAGGTTTTTGGTTGTTGTCATCATTATTACCAAAGACAAAATAAAATCTTGTCTTTAGTAATAAAAAAAAAAAATCCTTATTTTAATCCATTAATCAGAGCCAAGACATTAATTTGCACTGATTATGAACTGAGGCTGCTCAGTGGCGCAGTGGTTAGCACTGCTGCCTTGCAGCAAGAAGGTTCTGGGTTCAATTCCTGGCCCAGGGTCTTTCTGCATGGAGTTTGCATGTTCTCCCTGGGCATGCGTGGGTTCTCTCCGGGTACTCCGGCTTCCTCCCACGGTCCAAAAAACATGACTGTTAGGTTAATTGGCTCCTCTAAATTGTCCTTAGGTGTGAGTGTGTGTGTGAATGGTTGTTTGTCCTGTGTGTCTCTGTGTTGCCCTGCGATGGACTGGCAACCTGTCCAGGGTGTACCCCGCCTCTCGCCCATTGACTGCTGGAGATAGGCACCAGCACCCCTCGCGACCCCAATTGGGACAAGCGTGTAAGATAATGGATGGATGGATGGATGGATGATTATGAACTGTTTCCTAAATCATGACACATTTACTGTAGCCTGGTAAATGTATTTATAGTAGATACCTGATTAAATCCAGATGTTCAGAATCAACTTAGGATGAGAATCATATCTCAGTGACTCCTTTTAAAATATTCCAACTAAGAAAACATTGAGGTGTTTTATAGTTAACCCACTCTGTGTCTCAGTTGTTTTAAAGCCATTCCTTTCATTACCTAAAACCCTTGAGATTATTCTTTTCTGTTTCTTTTTTCAAAGATTTTAGGACAAAAAACTCTTTCATACTTATCCTATCTCTCTCTCTTTTCATTTGAGTTTGTACTTGTTTCTCAATCAGCTCCTTCTTCTCAATGTCCATTGAAGACCTTGAAGTATCACTGTCGTTCCATTTGTTTTAAACTTATATTCGTTACAGTTTTTTTAAAAAGTTAATATCTGCTAAAAATCATATTATTGTTTTAAGTTGTAAGGTCACAGACTTTCAAAGACTGCAGAGATATAGCTTGAGTTTTTTTTGCAGGGAAAGCACAATAAGTTGAGTCATTACGGAATATCCAGAGATAAACATAGGCGGGAATAATTACACGTATGCAGAATGTCTGTGTGAGGGAGGAGAAACCACTCGTTAAACCTATTATTCTTCTTTGTGAGTCATTGTGCTAGATATAATGTATTATAAGCCTTTGTTGTTCTAAATGTGCAGTGTGAGGCTGCCATGATTCTCCTTT